GAGAGAGAGAGAGAGAGAGAGAGAGAGAGAGAGAGAGAGAGAGAGAGAGAGAGAGAGAGAGAGAGAGAGAGAGAGAGAGAGGGACTAAGCAGAGACTTGTGGGGAAGAAAAGAGGAGACAAATGTTTAACAGAAATCATTATTTGCCGTACTATAATCATTCTCGGCTACCGTCTTCACTCGAATTCGACACCCGGTCATCATCACCGTATCCAGACTGAAATTTGCACCAAATGCAGCCATAATGACCAGGTGTACAATTCCGGTAAGCATGGTAGTAAAAAATAACAGAACCGGTACGTCGTAAACTGAGCTGTGTGCCATCGAGGAAGGAGAAACCGGGGGCGCAATACTGACCCTCGTGTTGGTGTCATGATCTCCTTCAATCTTGAGGAAGACTGCATCAGTGTATTCTTCGCTCATTTTAACGATCTTTGGATATATAAGTTTGCAAGGGCCGCATATCTTCGCGGAGACGTCGAGAACAACCTGCAACGAGTGGAGAAGGCGTTCACCATTAAAAAAAAAAAAAAAAAAAAAAAAAAAAAAAAATGGAGGGAAAGGGTCTTCTGTTGAGGTTCCCAAAAAAAAAAAAAAAAAAAAAAAAAAAAAAAAAAAAAAAACCCGAAAGGAATTGGAAATAATAAAGTTTGAGACGGCCAAAGAAAAGAAAAGAAAAGAAAAGAAAAGAAAGAGAAAAGAAAAGAAAAGAAAAGAAAGAGAAAAGAAAAGACAAGAACTTTAAAGAAGTATAATAATACTATAATTACTATAATATGCTAGGCTTACTTGGGCCGTCCAGCTGTGCAGCCTGGGCTGGGCATCTGAGCCCTGGGATGGTTTCCCCGATGGCATGATTTGTGTAAAGCCTTTGGGGAGTCGAAATTGAAATTTGGACCGGATACCGTGAGACTTAAGAATTGTCGTAAGCTTTTGGAGAAGGGTGTGAGATTTGAGATTACTTATGTGTGCAAATGGCAACCTCGCTGTGGTTTTCTAAAGAGCTTCCTTATTCAGATTCTTAACAATCCTAGGAAGCTGAGCTTGTTGCATGGGTGGGGTCTGAAATCCCACCTACGGATCTATAATGTGATAAAAGATTTCTCACGTAAATCGACACGTAAGTATCTGAGACGGCTGATTTCTCGTCAAATTCGAGTGAACTTTGGATTGAGTCTTGCAGCGGACCTAACTTTTAGAATACAGTATGACGATAGGATTCGCATTAACGAAGTCCGGAAAGTAGCGAATGATGCACTCATGAAGTGCGATCTACCTGTCTGTTTCTTGCATCGAGTTCGGAAGAAGATGCGTATCGTAGGGACAAAAAATCCCACGATCGCAGACATTTTGCACAATCAGCGTTCGTTTTCGAAACGCAATGTGCTCACCTGTACTTGTATGGGTTCGCCTTACCCACGAAGGGAAGGCCATGTATGCTTTCGACTGTGCGATTTACCGGGTACGTCGCCGTTTTTGGCTAACGCCAATAACATACCTTGTGTGTGCAAGGATAAGCGAGAGTTGGGTCTGTGTGAGGAATTGCTCCAAGGTTTCCTCAGGTGGAAAAATCTTCGAGGCGATCCACCTTCTTTTGATCGCAATTGTGTTAAGAGATGCCTGATGGACGAGGACGCTGTACCGAATTTGGGTAAGTCCGTGTCGTTGACGGAAGTTGAACTTTTGAGTAGGTGTTTTGAGGATTTGGTATTAACACCGGTTGACCGGAACTCCGGCGAGACGGTAGTGATGTGCCCACAGTTGTACTGCAAATCTATGCTGAAGTTGTTTGTTTTGAACCCGGGATACCGGATTGTGACGGAACCTGTATCATGTATCATCCGAGAGATTGTAGAGGATGTGTCTGAGCATGGTTTGACGAAGTTCGCACCAGTGGATGCGAAAGGATGCTTTGGGAATGCATATGTCATCCCAAAACACAAGGACTTGAGCCGTTTTCGGCCCATTTGTCCCTCATTCTCGGATCCATTGGTTGAGACAGGTAAGCTGGTTTCCAAAGCTTTGAATCATTTACTGAATACAGTCCCCCGTAACTGGCACTTTAACCTGCGATCTGTGTCTGACCTCGTGGTTACTTTGGAACGAGGGAATCGGAAGTTGGGACATCTAGGGAAGGACTACACCACGACAATCTTCTCTTTCGATATTAAGGAAATGTTCACCAGGTTACCACACTCGGATATTGTGGATGCAATTAGCTGGCTGATTGATTGGCACAGGTCTAGGAATCGGACCATGATTCGGGTGAATACCCGAGGGAGAGGAGCGAGTTTTGGTGTTACCACGGGGGCAGACCACTGGGCAAGGTTGGAATTGGAGGAGATCCAATCATTCGTTAATGTGGATTTACGTAACACGTATTTTTTCGCCACAGGGGTTCTGCTGAAGCAAGAGGTGGGCATCCCTATGGGAAAAAGTACGAGCCCACCGCTTGCATGCATTCTGTGTGCCTACACAGAGTACCGATTGATGCAAAATTTGGGGCGTCGGGCTGATTACCTTTTCGCTACACGACTGATGGACGATGTCCTTCTCGCGTTGGCATGGAAGAAAGATGAGGATCGTGATTTTATGCTAAGAGCTTTTTGCAATTGCTACCCTGATGGACTGGTGCTAGAACGAACGGATAATGGCAAAGGGACTACTGAGTTTTTGGGTTGTAGGATCACAAGTCGGCAGGGATACCCTACGATGGGATGTGTGCAACTGTCTACGAATGAGGATTGTATCTGGACAGATGCCCCGCTAGTCCACAAAAATGGTAAGTCTTACCTATCTTGGGGTTGTAAGCGGCAGAAGAGTGCTGTCATTAGCGGTTATTTACATCGCATTGATCGGAATACCTCAGTCCGATCGGAGATCCCCATGAGGGTATTGACTCTGCAAAAGGAACTCGGTAAGCGAGACTTTCCCTCTGAATTTTTCGAGGGAGTACTTCGAAGATTCGTGATAGGAAAAGGCAGCATCTGGGCAGCTATGCTGCGACTGGTCTGCGCTTGATCTGCGCTGATTGACGGATCTTCCGGGGAAGGGAACCATGGACCGTTCTTGACGATTGATTGGATGTGATAGGTGTCAGTGGTATAGGGAAATACGAACAGGGTTCGGGTGGTTTTTTTTTTCATGGTATTTGAATAGGGTTTTTTTGGCGTAAAGGATTATGGAAGTTTGTAGAGGTGCCGATGCATGCTGTTTTTGGGCCAATAAGCCCATCGTAACCTGGGGAGGGGGGTACTACCTGGTTGCGAACGGAATGGAGTTAGCGTGGCATGTTTTCTGAGCTGGTACCGTTAGTCTGTGTGGACTGTTTTTTCAATAGGTGTTTTGTTGACCTGAGTGAGTAGAGGCCTCTGGGCCAGTTGTTTTTTAGACTGCTGATTAGCGGTTCTAGACACTTCGACTATGCTAAGCCTAAGTGCCTTAGAACCCGGTTTTTTGCTCGGTCAAGATACTATATTAGGAATAAAGTCGTCAGAGTAATTCCTTTGGGTTCTGGACTTGTCCTCCGTCCGCTGAGTCCGGACTAGGTAGAGGGGTTCAATTCCAGTGGGGTGACTGGAACGAGCGGCGGCTCTTGGGTGTTGTGGTTTGTTTGCGAGGAAACCTATCGAGCTACTGTGAATGACTTTGTTTTTGGTGTGGTTTGGGCGCAATCGCGCATCCTCACATTCTCATTCTCATGGGGATAATATGTGGGAGGTCACAGTTTTTTTTTTTTTTTTTTGGGCGGCACCCGAAAAAACAGACTGGATGATATGTCAAAAAATATGTTTCCAACTTTCTACTATCTGTACACTGTCGCTACCCTGCTCTCTCTCTCTCTCTCTCTCTCTCTCTCTCTCTCTCTCTCTCTCTCTCTCTCTCTCTCTCTCTCTCTCT